TCATCGAGATAACACTATTGAATCACACACAATGTCAACTCCACGCAGTCTTTCACATACAATGTCTCAACTACTATTCCAAACCTTCACATACCTTATGCCAAAACTCAGAGAAATCCTTAGTCACTCTAATAATTTTATATACTATAAGCACATAACCTCTACTCACCATTAAATGCCTATATACCACATCATAACAATCTATATTGTTCCATCAACAAAGTAGTTTCAATTCCCTCAAAATCCTCATTAACCATGTAGAAATATAGGTCCACACCATTTAACATCCACAAGTTACCTATCATATTTTGAACAGTCTAGCTCGACATAACCACATAGAATCTTCCACACATCATTGATTGTAACCCAACCAAAACTCAATCTTTATAAAAGTCGATGATAAAACCCTAGTAAGTCTATACCGAATCAATTCACATCCATAGTCATATTAGAACTTATATATGAAAATCCATACATCTTTCAAATTCGAACCAAGAATTTATATGAGAGGTCTTATTCCTTCACATCTCTTAAATTCTTCCCATGACGCAAATTTCAAATACCTTGAACTCTTCAATACACCATACTATTTTTCCTTTTGTTGTCTTGCTTACCCATCGTACCCTTTGACCAACAACCCATGATATTATACCTTATACTTTAAACCAACACTTTAACTGAAGTACTTTCTTAGGCCCCTTAACAATCAAAAAGTAACAAATTCTACGACTCAAACCCTGCATATGTTCTTTCAAATGCTCAATACTCGATGTGATCGATCATTTCTTACTTTACCAATTCATATCTTGACAAAACATACTACCACGAACATAGACTTGCAATGAAAAACTTGAATTCTGATTCTAATTGTGCCAGTTATCAAACTCAAAAACACAAAAACATTTATTACCACTCTCAAATCGAACATCTATAGATTTCTTTCTCAAATTTTATCCAATCGTTTAAACCAATATGATTAACCCATGACACTATTACCATGACCTGAGCAAAACGGTTGAAACCACGTGTCTCTGAACTCAATTCTCAATCCCTCTGAAGATATCTCTTTACCCCTTGCAATTAGAGAAAATATTCGTACTCTCAGCTCTTTTCGAAGGCTACACTAAATCCCACTAAATTTTTTTTCATTTGTGACTCTAGTTCATTTCAATTCTATTCCAGTGGTGTCCTATAACTTTTCATGCAACCACGTTACTCATCAAATAGTAGTAAACCAAAACATTAGATACTCACAAGTCGTCATTACCATAAAAAAAAATCCATTTAACCAATAATTTTTATCATATAGTTGCATCCTAATCAAAATCCATCACGAACTCTTATTATCATCATGCTCAGTTAGCTCTTGTCATCACTACGAAGCCAAATTTTTCATCAGTATGACATTTTAAACCAAGTTATACCAATCAAATTCAAAGGACTAACCCACTTTTATATGCACTATTTACTAAAATTTTCAATTACCTTCACACACATATACTATTTGGGACTTCCTTTACCCATAAACTTGTCATTCTAGTATATATCCATTCCCTTGGACCTTAAGATGAAATAACCAGCCCTCATTTGAAACCCTCATGATACACTTCTCAACTTAACACATTAATACCTATCAACGATCCACCACTAAAATCTTCCTTATACACACTGCTTAACCCCAAACATCTGCAGTAACAACCTAATTGGATTCTCAAATATGAATGCAACATCGAATCTCATTATACGAGCATGTGATACAACTGATAACTCTTCAAGTAGTTAGTATCCACACTTGACAATGAACGTATTCGTTTCCATGTACCACTAGTACCACATCATGTGAGTCCGTTAGATCCACCACTAGAACACATCACGCCCCTCAAGAAGATTGTACCCAAATAGCCCACACATTTCTATCCATTGAATAACTGCAATACACTACCAAATCCGTTTTGTATATAGCCCAAGCCATATGTATTCTTCTGTAGGTCAGGTCAATATCAAAAGTAACACACTTTATAACTCTGACCAAGTAAGCATCAATACTATTGTAGTAGTTGTATCATGGCCTTCTTTGATATACACACAATCTATAAAATCGTAGTAGAAATTCTAACCTCAATTGGTGCATCATTATTCTCATAATTTTCTAAGCAACCCATTCATGTTATGATAACTTTACTAATTGTAGTTAACAAATTTACATATCCATTATATAGCCTCATTCCACTTCCAACTGTTAAACCACTATAAATATTGTACATACCACACAAGCACTATTCACTTTACTAGGGTGACTAACCTTACACAACCCCTTAAAATTGTTGAACATTCTAAATCTAACCACCCATCCTTTTCATAAGTTTATTACTTTCATCTTAACATCAGATCTAACATTCAAACCATATACTGCGGAAATTTTTATAATAAACTCAAATATACCCCCAAAATCTGGTTGTCACGTGTATCTAATTATCCATACAATCTATACTCGACTACATATACATACATCATCTTCTTATTTTCAATTTTTATGATAAGTCTAACACTAATTTATAATTCCCTCAGTATAAAACAAACTAATATTAGTTAATACTTTATATCATTCATTTGCGTTATTAAATTTGACTTTATTCATTTCGATCTTTTCCACCCTTCTCTAACCAAATATGAATCGTAATTATATTTAATGAATTGAATTTTGTAGAAAAATAATAAACAATTAATATGGAGTAATATGAAATTAATACAACTTGACCTTATGATGAAAAAGTAAGTTATACCATTTCTTTATAATATCTATAACAATGATCATGTCTCAATTATTTTAAATAATATAGTTATTTCTTTTTTGTGTATATAATTTTTTTTTAAAGTTTTCACACAAACATATTTCTCGATAGATTTTATAACTTACATAACAAACACCAATAAAGAATATATTTTAATCATTAAGACTTATTTCTTTTAAGCAATCAATTATAAATTTTAAAACTTGATTAGTAATTAGCAAATCAACATAATTAAGTTACTAATTTCAACCAAGAGAAAATAGTTATAAATTTTAAATTTGATTTATACTTGAGCAGAATTTCAACCATAACTAAGATAAATACGTGAGGAAGTGGTATCTCTTTAGGATTCACTCTAGCATTTTAAAATACCAATTTGAACTACAAGAAATTATAAACTTATACCAATCAGAAGTTTGTATAAAAATTAAACTTAAGAGGCATCATAAAGATACACAAGAAAGAAAGAAAGAAAAAAAGAAAGAAATAATACAATACACATATCATTACGACTTTAATAGTTAAAAATAAAAGGAAAAACAAAATTAATACATAATTTCTTGTCGATATCCACTTCACAAGTCTATCAATATTCATGAGCTTTTTTCTTTAAACAAAAGAGAGGCATCACACTTGTTGATATCCACTTCAAGTCTATCACTATTCAAAATCTTTCTTCATATCAAAAAGTAGTTTGACAATTCTGGCATCTATGCCTTCTTTTTTTTGGTTATCCGTTATTCTTTCCTGTTATAATGTTGCGTAGTGTTTGTTATTCACTAAAGCTCTCTTATGAAACCTTTTAAATTTAAATCACATATGACCAACTCTTCGTGTGTCTCGATAATACAAATAAAGAAAAGAAGAAACAAAGATCAATACACGGAAAAAAAACATAGGAGGGACTAGATCAAGAATATGTTAGGATTTTGTAAATGCAACTTCTTGATTTCATTTTCCTTACATTGAACACATTAAAAAGATGAGATCTCCATCAGTAAGCATTAGATAGAAAGAGTACATAAGATATCAAGAATTGATCAATAAAATTTGAGTTACTTGTAACGACATTAGTACTTAGTGCAATCTATAGGCAAAAAAGACTTTATTGTCCTCAAGATCGTATCCAATTAGGAAATTTCCCTATGCCAAGTTTCCAAATATACAAACCAAACCTTCCTCCACTTGTGCAAATGTGCTTGAAGGCGACAACTCTAAATCTGCATTTGTAAAATGTGCAACAATCGTTGGAACATCGATTGTGACATTCTAAGACTCGTATGATGGATCATCCTTACTAGTAGCACTAATTGAATCCACCAGAATTTTGATTCTATATTCAACATTGGATAGTTATAAGGGAAAAGAGACGGATTTACCCCCGAACTTTAATAAATGGTACGCATATGCCCTCCGTTATACTTTGCTTCCGCATAAGTCCCTGCCGTCCAATTATAGGTACACATATACCCCTCTCACTAACGGACCCCTAATTTCTTACACGTGTCTTAATCCTATTGAACTACCCGTTTGACCCTTTTTTTAACCCATAACCCAGCTATCCGCCCCATAACCCAATACCCATTTGATGCGGTTGGTGACGACAGAATCAGGAATGTCACATAAGGTACGGGATTTATGCATGTGATCTAAAAGTACTTTTTGACCCTCTTTTCTTTATATTTGAGGCTTCAAAAGATCAACCTTTTCCTTATATCAAAGGGACTCAAATGTTTATATATAAATCGAAATATATATTCAAATGTTCAATGCTTGAAGATTCACTTGAGCTTAGAGTTATTGCTTGAAATATGTATAACAATATTAATTTGTTGCCTACATACCATTGTCCACAAGATCATATCAAATTTTCTTGTGCCAAGTTTCCAAATATAGCAATTTCATCTGCAGGCAATATTGTAAGACAAACCAAACCTTCTTCCACTTGTGCAAATGGGCTTGAAGGTGACAACTCTAAATCCACATTTGTAAAATGTGTAATACTGATTGGAGCATCGATTATGACACTCTTAAGACTCGTAACATAGACGAAAAGTCTTTGATGGATCATCCTTCCTAGTAGCACTAATTGAATCAGTCAGTGTTAATTCCATATTCAACATTGGATAGTTCTAATATCAAGCACCAGTGGTCTAGTGGTAGAATAGTACCCTGCCACGGTACAGACCCGGCTGGTGCATTATTTGAGTGCTGTGAAGATAATTGTGCAAATGTGAAAACTTTGGGGGTCTTCACCATGCCTGATAATCAGACGACAAAATAGCACATCTGAGCCTTCTCTTTTGTTTTTTGATACTGAAAAAAATCACCATCGAAAACATTTTGTAGTACGAAATAGTTTCAAGTCAACAACAATGTTCGCACCATATGCAGTTTTGTTATATCGATTGATGTTCAACATCACGACAACAAAAAGAATTCTTTACAAGAGAACATTATTACATATCAATTGAAATAATCTAAATTTTGGAATAGAATTGGTGGGGTGCACCAGGCCAAGGTTATAGTGCAACACCAAGGCGATGATTGAAGATCCCAATAGCAAGCTACCGTGATGGACCTTCCCCCTAAAAAATAGAGTTAATATCGTGTGAGTCAATGACTCACATATCAGATATTAAACTGATAAGAACAGATACTACACTTGATCTTAGCCAAAAGGCCGAGAAAGGTATGATTTTCTATGGGATATGCCGCGCTATTTTATATGCCATTTTGTTACATAAAATCTTTCTTTCCAGTCAGTGTGGGAATTGAAGAACTTATATATTTCTCTCCAAAAGATGAGATTTGCTATTTGAATAGGAGTGAAGACAAATGCTAGAAATATGCCTTCTTTTTCGATGTACATTCATAAATACGATATGTCATGCAGATTTTTGGGATAAAAATGTGTGACTGGCCAATTAGAAGGACTCCAATAAGTTCATCTATCAAAATTAAGGCCATTGAAACAGAGTTTTCGATATATTCTTTGATTCGTCAAAGGATTTTCTTCATATTTTGAACATTTTCCCCCTTAAGTCTATGCATTTATAGTGTATTTGAGCTTTTTGCTTGATCTAAATAAGTATGACAATTCATTTTCATTTCATTGATAAGCATTATATAAAAAGAAATACATAAGATATCAAGATTAAATAAAAATTGAATTACTAGTAATAACATTAGTACTTCGTGCAATCTGTAGGCAAAAAAGGAGACTTTATTGGCCACAACATCATATCCAATTTCAACTGCAGGCACTATTGTATTGTAAGACATACCAAACCTTCCTCCACTTGTGCAAATGTGCTCGAAGGCGACAACTCTAAATCATTGGAGCATCGATTGTGTCATTCTCAGACTCGTAACATAGACGAAATTTCCCCAATGGATCATCCTTCCTAGTAGCACTAATTGAATCCATCGAGTGTGCCCTTCTCAGACTCATAATATAGACGAAAAGTCTCTGATAGATCATCCTTCATAGTAGCACTAATTGAATCCACCAATGTTGATTCCAGATTCAACATTGGATAGTTATAGCATCAAACACCAGTTGTCTAGTGGTAGAATAGTACCCTGCCACGATACAGACCCGGGTTCAATTCCTGGCTGGTGCATTATCTGAGTGCACGACAAAATTGCGCCTCTGAGCCTTTTTTTTTTTTTTGTTTTATCGGTCCATATCCTTAATAAATAAATACTCAGGGAAACGGATTTGATATAGAAGAAGAAAGCATATGTAGTTAATATCGTGTGAGTCGATGACCCGCATATCAGATAATAAGAACATATGAGTCTCGTTCCATATTTACAAGCAAAAGAATACTACTAAAGTGAAACAGAGAGTTCAATTCATGATATGAAAACACAAAAAGAGGTTGTAACAAGATAACGACTCCATCATACATAAGCAAATACTAACTAATTAATTTCGGGAAGATCAAACTTTCTGTATAAACGAATCCTTGCTAAATGACATCAGATCGAGGCCATAATCCAAATAGTCCATTGGATGTCCTAAAGACATAAGAACAACCAAACAAATTTCTGCAACTCAGTAGCACTTTTCCATCCGGAAACATATATTTCGGTAGGGCTGATTGAAGATCTAGACCTTGTATAGTAAACAATTCAGTCCAAGATGCGTTGACATAGTCTTTCATGACCCAAAATTTAAACATGTCCTTCCAATCAGACACACAATGAGAATAAGCACAAAGCGTTCCTCCCAATATTGAAACACCCCGTCCGCACAATTTTGAGAAATTCGAGTACATTTGCTCTGGCAATGGTATATCTCTGTACACCTCGTCAGAAATACTAAATGACATCACATAATATTTCGTTAACGAACTAATAAGCCAATGAAATGCCCCATGTACAAATGCCAAAGAGTCTGTAGATGTAAGCATAGGGAGAACATCAATAGGATGTTTATTCGTTAATCTCCAAGAACCACTTTTCAACGCGAGAATTTCACTACGTGATTTGTCATCAATCTTAAGGATCTTATAGTCATCACTAGTCGAGTCATATCCCAATCCCCAGGTACAATTGTCCTTTGGAAGAATTTTCGGAAAGGAAAGTAGTATTGATTCTCTCGTGGAGGGGTTCAATAGCAAAAGTTGTAAGTATTTATCAGGATAATAAAAAATCCCCATAAGCACCAAGCCATCGCAACAACAATATAATGTGTGACACAATGATTTATTATTAGAAGGACAATCAAGTTTTTGTACTTGCTCAACCTGTTGAATTGACGATAAAGAATAACAATACAAGGAAACCTTGTCAGTATAAGAGTAGCATTGGTTAACAATAATTTTTTGGGAATTTTCGTCATTCCTGGTATTATTGAGATGCTTCATCTTAAAGTAAGGGTCCGAAATCAATGTCATCCATAACTTTGAAACACATTTGAATCGTAGAAGTGACCGCACAGGTAGCCTACTGAAAATATCCGTAGCCACATCAACATCCATCTTTTCCCACTGAAATTAAAAACTGAAGAAAGAAGGCGATACCTTTTAGCAGATTCCACTTTTTCTCTAGGGCTATTTGGGTTTAGGTTTTGCTAACCTATGCACGAGAAAAGTGAAAACAAACAAACAAGGAAATTAAGCATAATATAAAAAGATAGTACAAAATATAAAAGAACAAAAAATAATAAATTAATGTGGATGTCACACGTCATATCGTGTGAACCGTCTGTGAAGTAAATATTCTCAATTTTTGGGTAAACTATTTTTTCATTTATTTTGATTTTCAATTTTTTTGTTTGATTAAATATAAAATTAAGTAAATAATTTTTTTTTATTGAATCTCTATTTACTTTTTTTTTCTTTTTGTGTGTGTTTTCCTTGTAATGGCAATATCTGAGTTAGATTTTTGAAGTCGACCTACCTCGACCTATACCTACTATCTCCTAACTTATACTCTACATAAGTAGGGTGTTCATGGTTCGGTTTAGATCTGTTATCGGTAAAAATCAAAATCAAATTAATTTAGTCGATTTTTAAATTTCCTAAACCAAACCTAACTAAACAAAAAAATAACCATCGATTTGGTTATTGTTGGTTTGGTTTGAATTTTTTTATTTTTTAGATTTGAAAGTAATAAGGGGTCGTTTGGTAGAGTGTATTGGAGAAAATAATGTCTACATTAGTTTGATGTATATATAATTAGTACCTAGTTATACCTAGTCAAACCAAATTAAATATCAGATATTTGAATCGATCTGATTCGAATTGCAGATCGATTTTTTTTTTTAACCATTGCCATCAACAGCCCTACATAAGAGGGCAGGGCTAGACTTTGATTCCTCAAAGGACTTTCTTCTCTATTTAACCTTTTTTGCTTTACCCTTTTTGTGTCTATGCATTTATAGTGTAGTTGTGTAAGTTTTTCTTTTAAAGGCGTTTTTGTTTTGTAGTGAATTTATGGATTTGAATAATTGTCCATAAAAGCTTAAGCTAGGGGTGGAGCCAGGTAGGCCTTAAGGGATTCATCTGAACCTCCTTCAGTTGTTACTTACCCTCCAACATGACTCGAACCTTCAACTAGTCCCTTCCAACATGACTCGAACCTTCAACCTACTAGTTGATGGTGGAGATGCTCAAGCCTCAACCTATTCCTAAGGTTTATAACCTCCAAAATAAGACACAAAACAAGAAAAAATATTTTCTTTAATATCGAAAGCATGTAAAATGTAACCGCCTAGTAGTAGGATGATTGAGGTCTCTCCATTAATTAAAGTTTTTGGAATGCTATTGTTATTTACTTATTTTACCTGTCTATCTATCCCCAACAATTAATCACCTCTAGTAGTGCAACACCAAGGCAACACGTGATTATAGTTAAAGATAATATTAATGAAATAATGCTCTTCAATATGATGAGTAATATTCTAAATGCAAATCTAAATACTATAACTTCCAGATATTTTAAAATGAAGAATCATGAGATCTAATCAAAGAGTAAATTTATGCAAAAAAGCATAGGACTAGAATTGGTGGGTTGCACTATGTCAATGAAGTAGTGCAACTCCGTCATACATAAGCAAATACTAACTAATTAATTTTGGGAAGATCAAACTTTCTGTATAAACGAATCCTTTCTGAATGACATCAGATTGAGGCCATAATCCTTTGGACGTCCTAAAGACATAAAAACGACAATTCAAACATCTGCAACACAGTAGCACTTCTCCATCCGAAAACATATATTTTGGTATGGCTGATTGAAGATTGATACCTTGTATAGTAAACAATTCAGTCCAAGATTCGTTGACATAGTCTTTCATTACCCAAAACTTAAAAACGTCCTCAGTACTAGACACACAATGAGAATAAGCACATAGCATTCCTCCCAATTCTGAAACACCTCATCCCCACAACTTGGAGAAATTTGAGTAGAGTTGCTCTGGCAACTGTATTTCCCTCATGTACACCTCATTTGAAATACTAAATGACATCACATAATATTTCTTTAACGAACTAATAAGCCAATGAAATGCCCCATGGACAAATACCAAACAGCCAGTAGATGTGAGCCTAGGTTGAACGTCAATAGGATGTTTATCCATTATTCTCCAAGAACCACTTTTCAACGCGAGAATTTCACTGCATGATTTGTTATCAATCTTAAGGATGTTATAGTCATCACTAGTTGAGTCATATCCCAATCCCGAGGTACAATAGTCCCTTGGAAAAGTTTTCGGACGGGATAGGACTATTGATTCTCTTGTGGTGGGGTTCCATAACAAAAGTAGGAAGTCTACTTTATACTTATAAAACCCTATAAGGGCCAAACCATGGAAACAACAATATAATTTACTGTTAGAAGGACAATCAAGTTTGTGTAGTTGCTCAAGCTGTTGAACTGACGATAAAGAAGAACAATGCAAGGAAAAATTCTCATTTGGAGAGTACCATTGGTTAACAAGGATTTTTTGGGATTTTACATCATTCCCATGATTGGGATGCTTTATTTGAAAGTAAGGCTCAGAAATCAATGTCATCCAAAATTTTGAAACACATTTAAATCGTAGAAGTGACCGCACAGGTAGCCTACTAAGAATGTCCGTAGCCACATCAACATCAATCTTTTACCTCTGAAATTAAAAATTGAAGAAAGAAGTGGATACCTCTTTTGTATCCTCTTAGCAGCTTTCATTTTTTCTCTAGGGTTATTTGACTTTAGGTTTTTGTTAACCTACTGCACCACAAAAGTGAAAAAAGAAGAAGCATAATATAAAAGATAAAAAATAATAAATTAATATGGACGTCACACTTCATATAATGTGAACTGTGAAGTAAGTATTCTCAATTTTTTGGTAAACTATTTTTTCTTTTATTTTGATTTTTTTTTTGTTTTTAAATATAAAATTAAGCAAGGAAATAACGTATCATATCAAAAGTAGAAAAATATGTAGCAAATTTTTCTAAAGGTAAATCTTTTTCTCATATCGTTTAAATATTCAAAACAATTCGATATTTACAAGCAAAAGAATACTACTAAAATGAAACACAAATGAGGATGTAACAAGATTACCTTGAAAAGAAAAATAACTCGATCATACATAGGCAAATACTCCTAACTAATTAATTTTGGGAACATCAAGCTTTCTGTATAAACGAATCCTTTCAGAATGACATTAGATTGAGGCCATACTCCAACTGGTCCTTTGGATGTCCTAAATACATTAGTACAGCGATGTAAATGTCCGCAACACAGTAGCACTTCTCCATCCGAAAACATATATTTTGGTATGGCTGATTGAAGATCGGTACCTTGTATACTAAACAATTCAGTCCAAGATTCGTTGACATAGTCTTTCATTACCCAAAATTTAAAAATGTTCTCCGTATTAGACACATAATGAGAATAAGCACAGAGCATTCCTCCCAATACTGAAACACCCCTTCCAAACAACCTGGAGAAATTCGAGTATAGTTGCTCTGGCAATGGTATCTCTCTGTACACCTCGTCTGAAATACTAAATGACATCACAGAATATTTCGTTAACGAACTAATAAGCCAATGAAAGGCCCCATGGACAAATACCAATGAGTCGGTAGACATAAGCATAGGGTGAACGTCAGTAGGATGTTTATCCATTAATCTCCAGGAACCACTTTTCAATGCGAGAATTTCACTGCGTGATTTGTTATCAATCTTAAGGATCTTATAATCATCACTAGTCGAGTCATATCCTAATCCCCAGGTACAATAGTCATCTGGAAAAAATTTCGGATAGGAAGTACTATTGATTCTCTCGTGGAGGGGTTCCGGAGCAAAAGTTGCAAGTGTTTATTAGGATAACTATAAATCTCCATAAGAGCCAAGCCGTCGCCACAACAATATAATATGGGATAAATCTCCAAAAGTTGCAAGTGTTTATCAGGACAATCAAGTTTTTGTACTTGCTCAACCTTGTCAATATGAAAGTACCATTGATTAACAAGAATTTTTTGGGAATTATCGTCATTCCTCGCATGATTGAGATGCTTTATCTTAAAGGAAGGCTCGGAAATCAATGTCATCCATAACTTTGAAACACATTTGAATCGTAGAAGTGATTGCACAGGTAGCCTGCTGAAGATTTCCTTAGCCACATCAACATCCATCTTCTTTGTGTTCTTTAATTTGAATGTTTCGCAACTCTTTTCTTCAAAAATTAAAAATTGAAGATTTAACCTAAACAATTTGTCAACTTAAACTAAAAATAGCCATTGTACAATATATATATAATCCATCAAAGGTAATCGGCAAAATAGTCGAAATAGTAAAAGGTAATTATTTAGAGAGATACAATATATTATTAGAAATAACCCTAGGAAATAAATTCCTTATTTGAACCCCCTCCGTGGACTTTTATGTTTATTATACTGATTCCGAAAAATATATGGAAAGAAAAAAAATTAACTAGTCCTAAAATATATGGTAAGAGGTATTAGTAGAATTAATGTAAATTTCTAAATATATGGAAAGAAGAATTAGAAAAACACTCCTAAAATAAAATATGTGGGAATTAATGTTTATTTTATTTCACTCTTAAAATAAGGATACTAATTAATCTTGATCCTAACGTGCATTAGTAGGATCCAAGTTATTCATTCTTGAAATTAAAAGTGAAAAAAATATTTAAAGACTCCAAGTTAAAATCTACCTTGCCATATTGAAAATCTTCTTATAATTTTTTAAGTTCTAAGTATTAGAATAATAATTATTTCAGAAAAAATCTAGAATTAAAATGGTGGGCGCCGGCAAGATAGTAGTGCAATGCCAAGGCAACATTTGAAGGTCCTGATAGCAAGCTACCGTGGTGGACCTTCACTTGAAAAAAAACTAGTTAATATCGTGTGGACCAATGACCCATATATTAGATATTAAACTGATAAAAATAGATACTATAGTTGATCTTAGCGAAAAAGGCCTAGAAAGGTATGCCTTTCTTTTGTATGCAATTTCTTACACAAAATCTCTCTTTACATTTTCAATTATTGTTATCAAATAGTTTATATATGGCACTTTACTACCACACTTCTTATATCGATCGAGGTTCAACATCATGACAACAAAAATATTTTGTAGATTCATAGAATTTGTTACAAAAGAACCTTATCACATATCAAATGAAATTATCTAAATTTAGGACTATAATTGGTGGGGTATGCCAGGCCAAGGCAGTAGTGCAACACCAAGACGACACTTGAAGGTCTCGATAGCAAGCTACCGTGGTGGACCTCCACTTCAAAATTTTTTAGTTAATATCGTGTGGACCAATGGCCCATATATTAGATATTAAACTGATAAGAACAAATACTACACTTGATCTTAGCCACAAAAGGCCGAGAAAGGTATGGTTTACTAAGTTTTCTGGTCAGTGTAAAACTTGAAGAGAGCTCTGCATTTCTCTATGAGATTTGCTTAAAATATGTTTCTGGTATAATAATTAATGTACTTCGTGTTCCTTAATCTGATTAATCGTCCATTGCATAGTTAAATATGAATACTTCGTTGTTCGAGTACATAAGATGAGTCTGGTTCGATATTTACAAGCAAAAGAATACTACTAAAAAGAGTGCAACACAGAGTTCAATTCATGATATGAAAACACAAAAGAGGTTTTAACTAATTGAAAAGAAAAGTGACATAAGCAAATACTAACTAATTAATTTCGGGAAGATCAAACTTTCTGTGTAAACAAATCCATTCTGAACGACATCAGATTGAGGCCATAATCCAAACGGTCCTTTGGATGTCCTAAAGACATAAGAGAAACTATGCAAATCTTCACAACACAGTAGCACTTCTCCATCCGAAAACATATATATCGGTATGGCTGATTGAATATTGGTAGCTAGTATAGTAAACAAATTAGTCCAAGATTCGTTGACATAGTCTTTCATTACCCAAATTTTAAAAATGACATTTGTACCAAAATAAACACATAACATTCCTCCCAATTCTGAAACGCCCCGTCCCAACAAGCAATTTGAGTAGAGTTGTTCTGGGAAAGGTATCTCTTTGTACACGTCGTCTGTAATACTAAATGACATCACAGAATATTTCGTCAACGATCTAATAAGCCAATGAAATGACCCATGGACACATACCAAAGAGCCGGTAGATTTAAGCATAGGGTGAACGTCAATAGGATGCTTATCAAGTAATCTCCAGGAAGCACTTTTCAGCGCGAGAATTTCACTGCATGATTTGTCATCAATCTTAAGGATCTTATAGTCATCACTAGCCGAGTCATATCCCAATCCCCAGGTACAATAGTCCTTTGGAAGAATTTTCGGATCGGGAAGTACCATTGATTCTCTCGTGGAAGGGTTCCATAGCAAAAGTTGGAAGTGTTTATCGGGATAATTACAAAACCCCATAAGCGCCATGCCATTGCAACAACAATATAATGAGTAACGCCATGGTTTATCATTACAAGGAAAATCAAGTTTTTGTACGTGCTCAATCCGTTGAACTGACGATAAAGAAGAACAATACAAGGAAAATTCATCATATCTTGGGTAACATATGTGAACAAGATTTTTTTGGGAATTACCATCATTCCTGGCATGATTGAGATGCTTCTTCGAAAAGTAAGGGTCGGAAATCAATGTCATCCATAATTTTGAAACACATTTGAATTGTAAAAGTGACCGCACAGGTAGCCTGCTCATGATTTCCGTAGCCACATCAACATCCATCTTTTTTGTTTTCTTTAATTTGAATGTTTTGCAACTCTTTTCCCCTAAAATTAAAAAATTGAATATATAATACAAAATATTAGAAAGAACCCTACCAAATAAATTCTGTATTTGAACCCCTCTGTGGGCTTGTAATATCATAAAAAAATCTTTCCGTGAAGTTTTAAGTTTCTTTTATTTTCTCAAATTATTATTTAATTATATTTATTATATTGATTCCTAAACTATAAGGAAAGAAAAAAAAATTAATGAGTCCTGAAGTATATGGTAAGAAGTATTAGTAGAATTAGAATTAATGTAGACTTCTAAAATATATGGAAAGAAGAATTAGAAGAAAAAAAAAACTCCTAATTAAAATAAAATAGAAGGGAAGGGGAAGAGGGGAACTAATGTTTGGGTGAATGTAATTTTATTTTATTTTAATCTTAAAATAAGGATACTAATTAATCTTGGGTCCTAACGTGCATTAGTAGGGGGGAAATACTATCTTCTTCATGTATTTAGTTTTTCGTATTTTGAATTGTCTTAATAAAAACACAAATATCTCATTTGTACGTGTGGAAATAGAGCGAAAATTGATATTGAAGGTTCATGTAACCCCAATTAATTTGAGAATGAGATATATAGTTTTTTTTTTTTTTGTCAAAAGGATGTAATAATATTATTGCAATAATATAAGGATCAAATACTCTGTTCCTCTCTGTTTTATCGGTTATGCTATCCATCTTCTGAACTCAGCGTTCGCTTGGTCTTAACTGACTTTTTTCTTTCTTCGTTTTCTATTTGTATTATGTTGTTCTAGTACATAAGATGAGTCTCATTCGATATTTACGAGCAAAAGAATACTAACACAAATGAGGTTGTAACAATATTATTACCTTAAAAAGAAAAATGACGTGATCATACATAGGCAAATACTCCTAACTAATTAAATTTGGAAAGATCAAACTTTCTGTGTAAACGAATCCTTTCAGAATGACATTAGATTGAGGCCAGACTCCAAACGGTCCTTTGGATGTCCTAAATACATAACAACAACGACCCAAATGTCCGCAACACAGTAGCACTTCTCCATCCGAAAACATATATTTCGGTATGGCTGATTGAAGATTGGTACCTTGTATAGTAAACAATTCAGTCCAAGACTTATTGACATAGTCTTTCATTACCCAAAACTTAAAAACGTTCTCTATACGAGACACATAATGAGAATAAGCACAAAGCATTCCTCCCAATACTGAAACACCCCATCCAAATGACATCACAAAATATTTCCTTAAGGAATGAATAAGCCAATGAAATGCTCCATGGACAAATACCAAAGAGTCGGTAGACGTAAGCATAGGGTGAACGTCATGAATAGGATGTATATCCATTAATCTCCAGGAACCACTTTTCAACGCGAGAATTTCACTGCATGATTTTTCATCAATCTTAAGGATCTTATAGTCATCAGTAGTTGAGTCATATCCCAATCCCCAAGTACAATAATCCCTCTGAATTTTTTTTGGAGGGGGAAGGACTATTGATTCTCTTGTGGAGGGGTTCCATAGCAAAGGTACATAGTCTACTTTATAGTTATCATATATATATATATATTATTATAAGCATGAACCTCCTAACCCCAAAGTTGATTTACCATTTTAACCCTGCAGTATTACTTAAATATTAATTTATTTAAAATATTAATTTATTATAAAGTAAATTTATAATAAATTTAATTTGCTGCCAGCCCTAATTTAATTTTCAGAAACATATACCTCCTGTTCCACGTCCCTTACGATCGCTGTAACAGTCGTATAGTTGCTGCTCAACCTTCCCTTCTGCAACACTCAAGTTCCATTACATAAATTATCCGTTCTTCCAAAACTTTTCAAATACTTCACTCATCTGTATAAATGTCTCCAACAACATGTTATTGTCCATTAAAGCTTTGTATCTCATACATCATTACAGGTAAATGTTGTTCCTACTCTGTTTTTGTTGCATAATAGTTACGGCCAAATGTCAACAGAACTGTGATCATGAACGAAGGGCACGACAATCAAAGAGTCCAGTGCACATTCTGATCGTAAGGATGATAACCCTTAGACTGGTCCAGTTCCATGTATTGTTTTCCATCACCATGCTGAGCCATCCCATGCTCGCACATCATCAATAGTTTCTTGGGCAATAATGCCGCGAAATCTTCTATGTTGTGTCAGTATCTGTGTACTGTTGTTGTTTTGTCGTTTCAGTCAAAGTATGCATAGTGCTCAAGTAGAGATTTTATCTGGGATGATATGAACAACCAGTGATGGAAAACATATATTGGAGTTTATGCAGTCTTTAGTTCCTTTTTATCTTCTCGACTGTTTTTTTTAAAATTTTAATCATTCATTTCTGTTAAATGTTGTTTTGTGGTTTTTAAACACTGCAGGTGTTTTACTTTGTTGTGAGGGACAATAGGCGAGGCCGCTTTCTTAAGGTTAATCTACTTTCCTGACCTTGACGCTTTGCTTTTGCTCTGTTTTGCTGCTAATTGAAAATATATGTACACCCTTAGTTTCCTCGCACATTACGATCACTTTTACTTGATAGCTTTTAGTTTCTGCCAGGCAAAAATTATCATTCTCCTAGAGTAACCAATTCAATGCAATGGCAACCGGAGACTAAGAAATTATCTTTAGTTAAAAGTCCAACTAACTATGACATAACCACCTTAACTTGACCGTGACAAAGCAGCCAACAGAGTGTTCTTTTGAACAAATTAATCGAGCAATTACCCATGCCACTTTACTCTAAACAATTTCTGGCAATAATTTACTCATTGGCCGTGGTGAAATTTAGTAATCAACTTCATCCAGAATTGTTCCATTGCATTAATTCTTAAATAATCTCTCTTGCATAGTTCTTTGAGTAGATATATTTTATCAAGGACCGTCATAAATGGATTCGCATGCAATGTAAAAACAACATATTTATGGGCTCTGAATTGACATTTGATATATGTTATTGGTCCATGTAACGTGCACTAACAAATAAGATAGCCGATAATAGGTAACCAAACTGAGTTTTATCCCGGCCGTGACACGTCCTATCGTAGAAAGTTTTATCCAGGATGATATGAACAACCCGCAATGGAAAACATATATTGGAGTTTATGCAGTCTTCAGTTCCTTTTAATCTTCTCGACTGTTCTTTTTTTTACTTTAAATCATTAACTTCTCTTAAATGTTGTGTTGTGATTTTTAAACACTGCAGGTGTTTTACTTTGCTGTAGGGGACAAAAGGCGAAGGTGTTTTCTTAAGGTTAATCTACCTTCCTAACCTTGACGCTTTGCTTCTGCTCTATTTTGATGCTAATCGAAAATATATTTACACCCATAGTTTCCTCGCACATTGCGATCAATTTTACTTGATAGCTTTTAGACAGTCTTATATGACCGCTTTGCTGTCTTTTTTTCCTTTACTTTTTCTAAGTCAAACAGTTGTTAATCAGAACTTGATAAGTTCTGATTAAGGACTATAACAGAGGTCCTACCTCATGCTCACCACTAGAATTTCTACAGTTTTCATTTGTTTCTTTTCTCACACTTTTGCTTGGAGAGAGAGAGAGTTGAAGAAGGATCTTCTTTCCAAACTCTCTTGTACATATGATCAGTAGCTATTTTTTTGAACAAAGATGGAACTTTACAAGGTCGTACAAAATTCACACAAAACAAAATATTGTTTGGATACGTTTAGCAAAGTGTATCATCTAAACTCAAACATGAAAAACTTACTTATTTTCTACTGACTAAATTGATTAGTTTCCTAACTATTGTTGTCCATAAGCACCTTACTGATAAAAAAAAAATGGTACTTTTTGAATATCATATTACTGGAAAATAGACATTAAAACACTTCATACGCTAAAAATTCAAATTCATCAATGAGTTAGTTGTAACCATTTGGAACAGTTAAGACTTCAGGTCATGTCTTTGTGTTGATCGTGCCCAATCAAAGTTAATCGTCCAATTTAGGATAGAGGACGCAAAAAAAAAAATTGGTATAGCTTTATAACTAAAATTATGCAATAACAGAGGTAATATAGCAATGGAATGAACAGACATAGCAGAGTTACTTAGAGGCTCGTCCAAAGGTGTAGCGTAGTGATCGATGAAGTGGGATAAAGTCAAGAGACACCAAAATTCCTAACAGAGTAAGAAAGAGCACTCAATTAAAATATTGATTGCATTTATCAATTGTTTCTTAGAGGCTCTTCCAAAGGTGTAGCGTAGTGAGCAATGAGGTGGGATAAAGTCAAGGGACACCAAAATTCCTAAGAGAGTCAGAAAGAGCAAGTCATTATATACATGGCATGTTCTCTTCGAGTCTAGAAAAAATCCTATTTCAAGAAGAAAATGATCAGATTATTTTAGCACAACAATTCTATACCTTACATTAGGAAAGTTTTACAATGATTCCAGCTGCTGAAGCAATTGGAAAAAATCCTATACCTCCCAAACATTTAGCTTGCTCGGAAATTTAATTGTCAACCTGAGTTTGAGTGAAAATCAGCAACAAAGACTCCTTTATTAACAGAACAATTAAACTATATAGGGAAATTAGCCTTCAGGCATTCTCAGTAACCCATAATTCTGTCCAGAAAATAGAAACATACAGAATTCGAAGAAGATATTATTTTAACACAACAAATCTATACCTTACATTAAGAAATACATAATCTCCAAATCTCTAATTAAATAAACTACCATTAGCTATACTGCTGTTGATATATGCTGTAGTAGAAAATATAGCATTCGCGTCCAGTTAAGCTGTTACAAAATAAAGCTATTGCCATAATATGCCAATAGACTGTCCACCAAGGACTCTTCCGTTTTGAGGTCGATACGTTTGCAATACTTCTGTTATATGCCAATAGATTGTCCACCAAGGACTCTTCCGTTTTGAGGTCGATACGTTTGCAATACTTCTGTTATAATAATTTGTTACATTTTTATTGATTTACTTCTATT